TTAAAAGCTGAAGAATTCCAAAGGAACTCTGTTATTTTGACAGGAAAATACAAGTAAACGATATTCTATGTAAGACTCTCGCGCGCTCTGCTCTCACCAAAGCGACGGCGAGTCGTGCGCCGTTACGCTAGAGTTCACGGTACGTCAAACACAGGTGTGCTGCGCATCCATTCAGATGAACTGAAAAATATCACAGCTCGCTTGACGGAGAGTGAAACTCTGAAGCGCTCAGTGTTCGGTGAGTGACAATATATCTGTGCTAAACTTATATTTAGCCTCCAACTTGCACACTGGCGAGTAAAATCTGAGAATTGATTAGCCATTGGCTAATATTAGACATCATTTAGTCGCCCAGAGTGAAGATTTAGTTGCATATGTGAGTGATTTATTCGCAATGTAGAGGGTTGACTTTATATAAAATGGGAACATATGTAAAATTCACTTTAAAGAAGGTTTTTCATTTTAATTTATGAAAAATGTGCCATGCTTAAGATTTCTGACACCTGTTGGAAAACACTGAGAATGGATCTGTCAATTCCCTCTATAAGCAGTAGATGGCTGCAGAGAAGCACTCATTGGCTCATTCGTCCTTTCACTCTGTAATACAGTCCTTTTGATGTGTTTTGCTTTTGGATTTATATTCAGACATTATAAAATCACTTATTACATTTTAAAATGACTTTTTGTCAAAGTTCAGCACTGTTTTGTACTGCTGTATGACGTAGCAACTCATGGGATATACATGAATCTGACAATAGATCTATTTTGAATTCAAAACTGCGATTTTGGGCGAAAGGTTTCTAAACCAAGAAACCTTTTTTTGTTTTTTTTTGAGAAACCGAGATACTTGGAAATGAACTGATATTATAATGTTAATCACTTTCACTTCTCAAGCAGCAACGTTAAATGTTGATTGATTTCATGACTTACAATGACAAAAATGTTTTGGTTAAGCTTGCCAATCTCGGTTTGTTCACTTGGACATTGCTGATTGCATTTAAATGCTTTCATGTTGTCTTTTTCTTTTCTGCGCCCCAGAATCTTTGTCATGTGACTCTGTCTGACAGTAATATGTATTCATATATGTATTCACTTGATGATAAACTCAATTAAAATGTTAAACAACAGTTAAATAAAAATGTTTCTTTCATAGTTTTCAACAAATAAGCTTTTGATCATTTATAACCTTTCATTAATAAAGGTATTAAAGAAGATTTTCATGCCCCTGGGGACAGATTAGTCACTTTGGTGTATTCATAAGTTTTGTTTGAAGAACTGGTGACATTCAGTGTGTAAAAAAGCGAAGATATAGAAAATCAAACACACTTTCACAGCACTGTATAAATGATGCATCTGTGCTGGAAAACCGATCAGAACGGCAGATTTCAAAACACTGAATAAAGCAGAGACCGACTGCAGGAAGAGACTTTATTTGCTGATGTCCTGCTTCACTCAGATTCAGTTTGTCTAATTATTTCTGATCATCAGACCTGTTTAAATACCACTACATTTCAAAAGGCAAAGAAATGCTATAACTAGGTAGGTTGTTTTGTTGATGAATTTGTATTACGTACGTGGTTATTTGTGACTTAATCTTTGTAAATGTGGAATTTTATTGTAATTTTTGTATTTATAATGCAGTGCCAGTGAACCTGTTACCGGGAGTGAAGTTTGTGCTTTACATCAAGGACCACAATGGAAATAAATTTTGTTTTAAACTTTGTGTTATCCTTGACGATTAGAGTGTATTCACTACTTTTTTTGTCAAATAAACATAACATAACTCCAAACATAGTTTGCATGTTTATGCACATTTATCACTGACATGGTTGTGTTGATCCACTTCTGTGTTCATGAACAGAAAAAGAGTAACAAAACCCCCAAACGCCAGAATCATTTTCAGACCTTTTAGGGGAATATTTGGTGAATTCAGTCATAATTACTGAGTGACTGATTTTGAGCCTCTAACATCCACAGGATTGTGACACGTGTTTAAAACTCACAACAGTGTTATTTAACATTTCCTAACTAAGTTTCTGTTTGATGTGATTCTGTTGTGCTTGTTAGCGATTCTTGTGACTCGTATTGTTAGGCTGAAGAATAAACAAACTCTTCTCTCTGAGCTGGGTTTTGTGTTTTGTGTGGATGTTTCGGGCTCCTGAGATCCTCCTGAGTCACAGAGGAGCTGAACGTCTTTCTAATGCTCAGTCAACAGACTTATATTCATCAAATTCAGGTATGATTTGCTTTGGGGAATCTCGTGATCTTCACATGATGACGCACTGAGTGGCTCCGCAGCAGTCCTTAATGAGGGCCGCGCTGCTCTTGCTGATGGAGGGTTTGTTGGCTGGAGGTTCAGTCGTTCTGGGCTTCGGAGCTCCTGCGGAGAGAAACCGAGCAGATCAGCAGAGATCACACGACTCACGCGCTTCATCCCGCCGATGCATTGTAACATAAAATCATCTCAACTTTAACCCGTTTGCCACTGACCTCTCCAAAAAAATAAAGTCCAATGGTCAGGAAACCAATCAGATGATGTGCTGCTATGTGAACGAGACTGAAGAGAGAGACTACAGAGTTACAGTCACTGGGACTTTTTTCAGTTCTGAGCTCAAATATACGTTTAGTTTCATCACTTTGTTCAGTGTTTACTGTGTGCACTTCATGCATGTTACCTAGCAACAGCCCAAACGTGACGCAGTGTGCACCGCCTGACGTGTCATGAGTCGTGTGACAGAAACATCACAGATCTCTCCCATAGAGGAATAAGAAACATGCACGTGAGAGACGGCTGTGAAAAAACTCTTACTCTGTGTAACGCTGAGCTTCTGTCGGAGGAACTCGGCCATCTCTTTATCTTCCTCCTGCTCCCTGATAGACGGAGACAACCAGAGAAATCTCACAGAAACTTTCAAAAAGTCAATTTGATGACAAATGTCATCTCTTTCACCTCAGACGCTCGACCTCGGCATCATCCACCAGGAAATCTCTCTTCTGCACCAGCTGATGAATCTCCTGGATTAACTTCTCTTCTCTCTGACGATGTTTCTTAGTCTTCTCTCCATCTGTGCATTAGATGAAAATACACATGAATCTAATCTGAGACGTAACGCAGCAGTGTCTCAGGTTATATAAGCCTCACTCCAGCCTCTCGTTGGCTGGGTTTCCACTGAACTATTTTTATTACAATTGAATGTGTGTTTATCAATTACTGAATGGTTCATGCTGAGGTGGATTTTTTTGGTTTCATATAATGACATGTAATCTATGTAGCTGATGAAAACGCACAATGTTTCGCATTCACTTTAGTTGAATTTGTCTGAACTATTACATGACGGCAAGCCTGCATTCACATGTGTGTGTGTGTGTGAGAGAGAGTGTGTGTGTATGTGTGTGTGTGAGAGAGAGTGTGTGTGTATGTGTGTGTGTGAGAGAGAGTGTGTGTGTATGTGTGTGTGTGAGAGAGAGTGTGTGTGTATGTGTGTGTGTGAGAGAGAGTGTGTGTGTATGTGTGTGTGTGTGTGTGTGTGTGTGAGAGAGAG